GATTCTCTTTACTCAAGTGTTGTGTCTATGTGATTCTCTTTACTCAAGTGTTGTGTCTATGTGATTCTCTTTACTCAAGTGTTGTGTCTATGTGATTCTCTTTACTCAAACAAACAAACAACCCTGAAAGCCTGCTGACGGTACTGCAACTGTGTCCTCAAATATCATTATAATATCAAACGATTCTTCTTTTCTTAAAAATTTGGTGCGTTACACTTACTTGTAGTTTGAATCCTTTCTTTTTTATGCTGAAAATGCTAACATACAGATTTCAAATTAAACTTGTCGCAACAAAGCAGAGAATAGGTTTCTGCTACGACTTGGAAGAGTTAAAAGACCTTCGTTAGCCGACGTGTATGTCGAGAGGGGTCTGTATCCACACTAATTACTATACCTTGCCAGGTGCAGTCTACACAACGTGCTGCCACAAAGGAACAAATTGGGGCCCCTAGCCTGGTGTATAATCTTACTCAAAGCTCAATACAGTCCCGGGTAAGGTCTTTCTTTTTTTTTAAAAAGACAAAAAGAAAACACGCATTGCACATGGTTGATAACGAAATATTGGCTCACTGATCCGAAAGTCAAAGCGCACAATATAACTAATGTAATATTCTATGCAACTGCTGTCGTCATGATCTTTTGTTACGGAAAAGTCCGATCGCGTGTATTCTGGGGTCATGTGGTCTTAGTGAAAGTACAACCGGTAATTTACACAAAAACTTGCCGCCAAAACCAACATCATATATTATGTATACATCTTGCTCTGTGTTTATCTGCTAACATTGGCGTTCGAAGTGCGGTGCTTTGCTGTGTGGCAGAGCATAACAATACTGGTAGGCGGTATTCTTTACGAAAGCTATGTGAGGCCAGAATATGCTAATATAAGTACGGTCACTCTTGTTTAGTTTGGCGTAAAAAATATTAATCAACAATAAAAGGTGACCGGTGCGTGTTAATAGAAGTGTTTGGCCGTCATATTGGGGGGGAAAACACATGCCATAAAACGTTACGTAGTCTGTTATGTTATTGGTTGAGAAAGTCAAGGGCAGATCCAACCAATAACTTTGACTCTTCTTTTGTATTAGAACAAGATAAGTGGACAATGCTTCACCCTATCTCTCTGTGGGCCCCTCTACAAAGCAGTGCATGAAGTGTAATAATATGTGTCTCGACGCGGTGGAATCAGGCACTCATCTATCTTTGGTCATATGAAGTTTTGGTAGCATCGTACAGCCTGCTCATTTGTCTTGTTCTCATTAAAAGAGATACCCATTTATCTTCCATAAGAGTCGAGATATATTGGATTGAAGGAGGTGGGGATCACCCGGTTTCAGAGGTAAAATTAGTCAGGAAATGGTCGCCAAAGTTTGCTGACTTCCAAAGCTTGAAAGTCTTTGGACACTGAAAATGTATATTTTGTATGCCTTTATTCAACGATTTTCAGTAAAATCCACAGTCTAATGTCTTTTAAAATGGGCATAACAGGTGTTGAGCCTAAAAAGCACACATTCGATATAAATTGCCTAACGGGAAGTAAAAATGCTGTTTTCTTCGATTTCATTACATTGACGAGGGCCTGATTTCACCGCGATGCCTTAAATGGACTGAATTATCATTTTTATACCGATGATTCCCAAAAGTATGTTAATGGCACCATTCAAGATCTGCCAAACATGATTTCTATCACTAAACAATGTTTTTATGAAATTAAAAAGTGGATGACAGTAAACAAATTGAAACTAAACGAAGAAAAGACAGACATCATTCTTATAAAAAAATCCACGATTAAATAAAGATCTGGAAAGTGTCTTATATGGGCATATGACATCTAGTAAAGAAGTTGTCAAGAATCTCGGTGTATATATTGACCACCACTTATCAATAGGCTTGCTTGTAGGATCTCTGTCCAAATCCCTTTATTTTCAGCTGAGAAGGACAGGCCTAGTTCGAAAGTACTTAAACGAAGAGACCACAAAAACACTGGTAACATCTCTTATCCTATCTAGATTAGACTATTGTAACTCACTCCTAGCAGGTCTGAACAACAAATATTTGAATCGTTTACAAGGAATTCAAAACAATGCCGCTAGACTGACAACAAGATCTAAAAAACGAGACCATGTCCCTCCATTGTTAAAAGAACTGCATCGGCTCCCTGTAAAAGAAAGAATAATGTTTAAAATCTGCGTCATGTGTTTCAAATGTGTAAATAAAACTGCTCCTTTTTGTCTACAAGAACTTATCAGTATAAACCAGGGAGAAACCATAGATCATCAAACGATAACACATTACTTGTGACACCTGTAAAATCCTACAAATCATACGGAGAGAGATCTTTCTCATACCTTGGTCCATTTATGTAGAACAGATTACCCATGAAACTAAGACAGATAAAAACACTTGATAGGTTCAAAAGAACATCTTAAACATTTTCTGTTCCTACAGGCCTATCCTTCATAAGCTTTTAACGTTATTTTTCATTAAAGTTGTTCTGTTCCTATGTCTGGATGAAAAAAGTCTCTCTCTCTCTCTCTCTCTCTCTCTCTCTCTCTCTCTCTCTCTCTCTCTCTCTCTCTCTCTCTCTCTCTGTGTATGTGTGTGTGTGTGTGTGTGTGTGTGTGTGTGTGTGTGTGTGTGTGTGTGTGTGTGTGTGTGTGTGTGTGTGTGTGTGTGTGTGTGTGTGTGTGTGCATAAAATTATATATTGCTTGAGAAGAAAGGAAGTAGTAAGAAAGGTTTTGAAAATGGGTATTCCAATGTAAAGAGCTACTTTTTTGGAAATGCGCTATATAAATGTTATATATCATTAATATTATTATTATATGGATATATCCTACAGTAGGGCGGCGGCGGTGGTCCTGGTAGTAGTAGTAGTAGTAGTAGTAGTAGTAGTAGTAGTAGTAGTAGTAGTTCTTGTAGTAGTAGTAGTAGTAGTTGTAGTAGTAGTAGTAGTAGTAGTAGTAGTAGTAGTAGTAGTAGTAGTAGTAGTAGTAGTAGTAGTAGTAGTAGTAGTAGTAGTAGTAGTAGTAGCAGCAGCAGCAGTAGTAGTAGCAGCAGCAGCAGTAGTAGTAGCAGCTGCAGCAGCAGTAGTAGGGAGGAGGTGGAGGAGGAGGAGGACGACGACGACGACGACGAAGACGAGGAGGAGGAGGAGCAGTAGCAACAATAATAATAATAGTGCTGGTTGTTGGGCGCTTTGCGTCACACGAAGCTAGAAGAAGACGTCATTTCGATTCTCAAGAGGGGAGGAATTTTATCGAGAATCTGCAACTGTCATCTGGAAGATTGTATCTCGCTCAGTCTGGAATTTCCTCGACAGACAGGGTCGAGGAAGCAGCCCATCTCCTGAATGGTCTAAAATGCGTCGATGTGGCCGTAAAACATAATAAAAACAACTACTTACTGTACAATCAGCCATTGCCCAGTGATAGGACGGGAAAATAAGTGAAATGTGCTGTTTATTGGTACAATGGTACGTTTTATACAATCTTTATTAATTGCGTGTGTTTATTTGTTTTTAGTGTGTTTGTTTAGTTTTATATTACGATACATTTTTTTATTTTCGTTCTTTCTTGTCGTCGTTGTTGTTATTGTTGATGTTGTCGTTGTCGTCGTTTGTGTTGTTCTTGTTTATGTCACCTATGGTGTGTGTATATGGTAAGTTGCAGAAAGTGGAGTTAGTAATAGTAACACGTAGTGGTACAATAATGGTTTTTTGGTAATGATGTGTTGGCTAAGTCAACAACTAAGATGTTGGACTACATTGCAAAAATATCCCACTTGTGTTGTCATCAGGGACAGAACGCAGGGGAAATAAATATAAAAATAGTTACAAAGAAAAACGCAAGCACTTTTAAAAAAAAGTTGTTTCCCTAGAAAAATAACGCTTCTAAAACATGGAAGAATGTTTACCATTTCATCATAATCCATGCATGGGAAGATCTCAAAGCAAAATCCTTCCCATTTGAGTCTCTCACACACTGTCTCTGCACAGACACTATGAGCAGGCCGACTGTAGGCCTACAATAGTTCATTAACACTATCCTCCATTCAGGGTTAGAGAACCTCGTCCTGTTATAATCTCTTGGACAAGACCGCGTCACCTGTGGCCCCAATGTTTTCGAGGCATCTTATTACGAATACATTGTTAAGAGCACATGAAAATGCTGTCATCACTTTATCATAACATGTTCTCAAACCTAACAAGCCGCCGTATTAAAGAATTACATTACACAAAGTGTTCCCTGGAGCCTAGGCTGGCGTAATACAATAAGTTATAAGCAATCGGGACGGTCTGTCAGGAGACTGCGCGCCAATATTACCACCACAGGTCTGTGTATAAGTTCGCTGAAGTCTGCCCACCACGAAAGGGTGACTGTTGTCACCGAACGTCCACGCGACAACACTAAGCCTGAAACTCCTGGCCAAACATACAAAATAAATGGTTCCAAGAGAGCCTTGGATGTACATTTATTTTATTGGATGGCAAATGCATTTCCTTCTGTTAGCTTGCACCCTTAAGAGAAAACACAATCTGTATGAATCCTTACTTTCTTATCGTTCTTTTGCTTTGTTTTTAGAAGCCAATCATTTTATCACGAAAGCTCGTTCTAACTGAATACAGAGAAACCTTTCTTGTTGCCTGCCAGATCTTAGTGTCACCTAAGCCTCCGTGCAAATCAACTTCCCGTTTGTCCAATCGATACAGACGTAAGCAATCTCTCTGCACATAATTATCTGTGGTGGTGCCAAGGAGAACGGAGTAACGGAAGCCTAAGCCAGGGGATTAGCGCAGTGTATAGCACGGATTTACGGTACAATGGGCATATACCCGTCAGCTGCAGTGTGCTGCCTTGTTGTTGGACTGTGTTGTAAGTGCGTGGGCTCCAGTGTAACAAAGGTCTTTGTGGGAACTGCAAACACTTATCTCACGTGTGACAAGGCATGACCAATACATGCTGAAGAAATTTCAGGCGATTGGAGAGGAGGTTTGGAGGGGGGGGGGGGGGGGT